GACCTAGCATTCCCATTCTTGCAGGTGTATTCAAGAGAAATATTCACACGTGACAACCAGGAACTAGGCACAGGAATGTCACCCGTGCCATTCGCAGTAACAGAGGACTGGGAATTGCTCCAAGTGTCTGTGAACAAAGAATGTGGTTGTGACTTGTGGTGCAGTCACACCATGGAATTATTACACAGGTGTCCAAATGGGTGAAGTACCGCTGCTGTGAAGATGAGAACCCTGACATAAAAGAGCAGGACCTAGAAGACAGCCCACAGCCCGAGGGTTATGAAGCTCAAATCCAAGTCGGTAATCACCGGGCATTCCCGGCCAGAGAATCCCAACAAACATTCCCTCTGAGGGTGGGAGGGGGAGGAACTGAGCTACTTGGCTGGCAATTGGCTCAGTCCTGTGTGGAGGGGAGGTTTATGTGTTCTCTGCATTACTTTGTAAATAGGTGAATAAATGCCATGCATCCAAAAAATAATAAAATGAAATGGGTGTTCCAAAGCCTACTGGGCAGCATCAGGGAAAGGCCCTGAGTCTGAGGCCTGTCCCAGGTTGGCAACCCGGGGACGGGGCAGCGGGAGGCAGTGGCATGAAAGGCCTATTTGCCGCTGAGCACAGCGGAGGTTGGGGGCCTCCCAGCTCAGCCCGGGCCCCTCCATGGGCCTGCAGAGCGCCTTACACATCGCTCTGGGAGTTCCACCAGAGAGAAAATTTGCAATTAGAGCCTTCTGGGATGGGGAGCAGATACGGGGTGGGGAGGGCAAGGTCACAAAGGAGCCAAATAAAAAACACCAGCGGCGGGTGCAGGTGGGCTGAGGGAGATGCACCTTCGAGGGAGGCGGGCCCGCCGCAACCTTGATCTCCACGCAGAGACCTGGGGGAGGCTGCGAGGACCGAACCCCAGGCCCAGGCCCCGGCCCTGAGCCGAGCTGCCTCGCTGACCATTCCACATCGCCTGAGGCACTGGGGGCTGCAGACGGTCCTCAGTGTGGAGCTGTCATCAGCCCAGCCCCTCCCCGGAGCGCAGCCCATGAGCCTCCCGAGGCTGCCCATGGGGCCCTCCGAAACCCCCCAGCGCTCTGTCCTGGCCGCCACCGTGGGTGGGGGTCTCTGAAGCTGCCTCATCAAGTGAGCCTGGGCAGCACCAGCTCCGAACCCAGAGTGCCAGCGAGGGGGGGTTGGTAGAAGGCTGCTTCAAGGGTCACCTGGGAATTTCACTTGTCCACGGGGATCTCTCCGCTGTCCAGGCACAGGCAGACCCGGAGGCAAAGTGCAAGGTTGGGGTCTAGGGCTCACCCCTCCTGAGAGGGGTGGGGGCCTCCCAGAGTAGCTGCTGCAGCGGGCCTGCTGAGCTCTTTCCCCCACCACTGTGCCAGCTCACCCCCCACAACCTGCCCACCTGCCCTCAGACACCCAACTGCAGGCACATCTGGGAACCAAAACCCACCCCCCACAGACCCATTCGAAGCTCTCAGTGGACAGCTCCCACCCTTCCCTCATCACCCTCATCACAGTCAACCCTGTGCCCCTCACAGTGGCCTGGCCAGAGATCAGGAGGTGGGAGACAGACATCAATCTCCAGCCCCAACTGCTGAGCAGGCAGGTGCAGCCCACCTGTGGGAGGCCCTGAGGGACCGGCACCCCTGCTCTGGGCTTGCGGGGTCTGGGGGGCATGCAGGGCTCCCTCTGCTCCTCTGGCTGCCCTGGGGTGTGCAAAGGTGAGGGCTTTGGCCACACGGGGTCTGACCTCGCTAAGACCTGACCCAGAACCTCCTGGTGCACAGCCTCACACCACCCCCGACAGACACCCAAAGACCCAGAGCGAGCTCATCCATGGGGGACCAGCACAGGGGCGGGCCGGGATTACAGGCATGAGCGACCACTCCTGACCTCAGGTGATCTGCCCGCCTCGGCCTCCCAAAGTGCTAGGATTACAGACGTGAGCCACCATGCCCAGCTATGAATGGCTTTTTATTTTATATTTTCTAAAGCTATTTCTTGTTCTGGTAGAGAAATTCCACCACCTTTTAAGTCTAAGGTACACATCTGGTTGCAAGTCCATGGAGTAACTACTTAATAAAGGGACGAGAGGTAGGGTGCCCAGCAGTGCAGAGTGCAGAGCAGCCCCATGTGCCAGGGACGACAGGCCTTCCCACCCCCCACCCGCTTAGCCGCTGACCCAGCATCCTGGGGTCTTCTGATGGCAGGAGCCACCCTTGGCACCAAGTCCCCAAGTTCAGGCAGGAAAATGGGGGAAAGGACAGGAGCACACAGGTTCTACACACACCACCACCCCCCCCCCGCCGCAGCTTAGCAGGGACAGAGGCTCTCCCAGGAACCCCCGGCACCCCTGGCACCCTCAGCTGTAGGTTTCACCAGCTACGCCTGTGCCTTGGCCTCTGCGGTCTGCAGCACTTGTGGTAGAAACAGGCGTCAGGGCTGCCGCTGCAGGAGCCACCGCACCTTCAGTGTGTGTGCTCTTCTCACTGGCAGTTCTGCCATTGCTGTGTTAAATAGAAGTGGTGAAAGTAGGCAATCTTTTCTTGGTTCATATTTTTAAACATACATTTAAAAGCTCTCCACTACATATGTCTTCTGAGATTAGCCTTTGTCAAGGAAAAAACTTTACTTCTATAACCAGTTTTCTCAACACGTTTCACCACAAAAGAAGGTTGACTGAAATCAACTGCTTTGTCTTCCTCTGTAGAAAATCGTATTTTTCGCCTTTGGTTCACTGATGGGTAAAGCACATTGACATATCTCATGACGTAAAACCACCCCAAACCTGGCTTGATCATGGCGATTTGCTTTCTGATGTGCCGCTGAATTCATTTTGCTACGGCTTTAAAACTTTCATGTCTCTATTCAAACATAAAACAGCCTAAATGCTTCCCTCGTGCTTCTCTTATCTAGATACATCCTACGCATGTTAAGATAGGAGACAGGCCGGGCACAGTGGCTCATGCCTGTAATTCCAGCACATTGGGAGGCCGAGGTGGGCGGATCATAAGGTCAGGAGTTTGAGTCCAGCCTGACCAATATGGTGAAACCCTGTCTCTATTTAAAA